ATAAAAATAAGAAGTTTTGCAGACCGTGAAGAAAATAAAGATACAGTGATTGTGATACTAAGAGGCCGATTCGTAAACACTACAAATCCTTGTGTGCCAAACACAACAACCCTATGACTAGGCAGATGGGACTGACATCACAACCCTAATCCTAAGATATTCTTTCTTCTATTTTCAGGCAATCAAGAATAGATTAGTAAAATGTACCAATAGGGAAAACAAGGGTACTTCATGGAATGTCAAACCGACATATGAAAGTTGGCGGAAACTCAGTCTCGAAAGCACTTCTTCCTGGATCCTCAACCTATACATTTCATTCCCATCTTCTCCTATCGAGTGCAATATTGGAAGCCAGGTAACACCTTCAACTCAAAACCTTGATGCGATCTTCAGCTATTTATTTACTTGTGACAATTTGAATTAAATGCAAATGCGACCAAGAAAACATGCCTTTTAAACTCACGGGAAAAAACAAAGTAACCCAACCAGAAGAGAAGATCATGCATCCAAATTTAACTCCTGCTTTTCCTCTTCTGGAAACATTGAGGAAACGGCTTACCCCTGTCACGGAAAAATATCATTATAAATATCTTTCCCTGATAAAATCAATATTAAACTTTTCTGCCCATTAATATTGAGAATAATGCCTATTCCATAGATTATTAATCTGAACGACATTAAATTCTCGCACACTGTACACAGTTCGATTTAAAAAGTAAAGCGTTGTTGCTATAACAACGAGAACTTGTTTGGAGTCTTAACAACTGGAATCTCAGCTTGTACAACGTCAACTCCACTTTTCCAATTAACTACAGCTAATATATGAGAGTGAAACTTTCCAATAAGTAAAATAGACTATTTCAGTGAAAAGTTAACCGATTCTTCTAAGATAGGTTAGGCAGATAGAATAGTGGTTGATGAATCACGCCAATCCATTAACCTTTTTACAATTAAAACCCAATGAACGCGTTTCAAGGAAATTGTGCACCCAAACTACCGTTGTCTCCAATCAACAGAAAATGAGGATTCAAAAAAAGAACAAATACAAGTGAAATTCCAAACTAGCTTTACCTCTGTCCGTTGAGATGACATGACCAAAGGTTCAAGCTAATCAACTAGGCAATAAGTTCTGAACACGCGAACATGATAGGGAAACAAGGAATCCTGAAATACCATGCTCTTTACTCCCCTTCAATTTAATAATAATAATAATACTAACAAACTACATAAAATAGGAAATGTGAACTTGTGAACATTAAAACATGAGGCAGGTCGTTCTACCCATTAAGTAAAAAGATTACAAACCTGAAGCTTAAGTCCAAATGAAATAATATTCCTACGACAACCTGACTGACTACTCTACTTTGAATCGACTTATTGTCTGCATTCAGGCGTTTTGCCATGACAAGATATTGCAGAGAATTTGCAAAGTTACAGGTAATAACAGTAGCGATTTGAAGCCATAATCGTATTGAGTATGCAAAATTTTGCCCTAAGTAAAATTGGCATCTCACACCCAGGAAATAGGCTGTTCTCGTGTTATGCGTCTGTCAAAATTAAGCGTTTTAGATAACGAGAACATGAGATTAATAGCGGAGAAATAAGCACATATATACAGGGTATTGGGGTTAATTTTAGGATAATAATTGGTCGTCTATACCAAGGTGTTCGTGAACACTATGACCCCTTTAAAAGTTTAAACCCTTCCTCATTTGGAACATTTGGCTAGAATCAAACTGACGCAGGAAACATTAAAGTTGAATCACGATGCATCGCGTCGACCATCAAAATAAAGAGATTATAGCCGCAGACCACTGCTCCCTGAACATTGTTGAAACAAACTGGCATGGACTGAAGAGTTGGAATAGATACAACACGGGTGCTGTGACTAGAAGAAAGCAACATAACAAACGAGCTGATTGTGTACATAAAACGATTTCTTCGAAAAAAACTGCAGTAGAATGCTTCAGCCTTATCATAAATAATACAAGCTCATACTAGCGTCACAGAGGCCAACTTCTCACAAAAAAGATCCCGCAAAAAACAGTTGATAAAGACGAAGAAACATCTGAGCAAATTACAAAATCCTGTTGAACCACAAACTTTTCTGATCAAATACACAGGAAGCATATTAACAGATAGTTTGACTTGTAAATGGCCCGAAAGACACTTTATGAGCCACATAGGCTAAATTTCCCCCAGACTGTCGTGTTTTTATTTATTTTGTCCTTCTTCGAGAGAGATGTCATTTAGATGTCTTCATGATATTTCTGACCACTATAGAAGTTAAGTCATAGTTAACGAAGGAGAGTAGCCAATAATAGCCTAAATAGCTGCCAACAAATTTTTACGAAAACAGCTCAAAGTTTGGCTCCGAACTATCTCACCAAAGCCATATCTTAAGCCGATATATGTTGTTGAGAAAGACTAATCGCCACGACAGTACTACAAAAGCCAGCCAGCTAATGGGTATAAATAAAATAAAGCTTTTGAGACCCCCACCAGTGAGAGTGTAAAATCAACTTCTTCTAGATTTGGGAGGGAGGGACGATTAAGACTGTAATGGATGATAATGACATCCACTTTAGGCAAAAATTTTAGAAAATGGCAATTTCTCTGCTAATTGAATTTCTTCTAAGCCTACCATGAACACGGTCATATGGTGCCCTCGTCGTTAAAACTTCCTTCTCTGCCAATGCAATAACGCTTATTTGGTTTAGCAAATACACTTCTTCCTACAGTTTCTGACTTTCCAATAGATAAGGATCGGGTCCTTTAGATCAGAAACAGTTAAAACGTGTTCCCTCGACCTTCATATGGACACCTCTTAACGAGGTTGGAAAAGCTCTTGCGATGATAAAACAGCAGCGATGACATAAAAAATGCGGTGTGGCTGAATGCGTCCATTTCAAACACAAAGCCCTCCCTAGGAAGTCTTCGTTGGCACCTAAGATAAGTAAGGCATAACACTTTCCTTCAATCGACTTGAAATTATTGCAAGGAGTAGTATATTAACTACGAGGTAAGAATAAGTTTGACGATAACATAAATGAAAGCAAAAAACAACAGTTAACACAAATTTCCACCACTCCATAAGGTAATTCAAAGGTACAAGGCTGAAATGCGAAAGGTCAGGAAATTAGAGATCTAAAAGATTTGTGCAAATGATACAGACCGCTATTGACAAAAACTAAGTTGGATTAGAATTCCAACTTTCATTTAAAGAAACCAATTGACACATAACAAAACATGGACACCACAGGAAGACCAAAATTTAACATTCGGGATGAAATTATAGAGGTGAGTGCAAAACTGAAGAAAGAAGACTCCAAATTCTTTCAGCAGATATCGTTAAAAAGTCAAGCATAACATTACGATAGCATTTTATAAAAGCTAATTTAAGTTAAATTTCAATATTTTTATTAAAACGCGCACGTGTAGAGCTAAGAACTGGAAATACCAATGTCTTATTGGATCGAATCCATCCGTCATTTAATTAAAAGTTGGGAAAAGTGCATTGGTCTTGTAAAGGGAAGAGTTTTAGATGCACTTCTGAAATCAGTACCAAAAAAGACAGCTTTTTAAGAAGCAAGGAAGATAAACATTCACATTATCTTATCATCTTAGATATACTTTTCGGAGCGTGAAAGTTTTCAATCACCACAGAAAAATTGGACATTGGAAAGTGTGTAGGGAAGGGAAGAAAATGCACTATTGAAAATGTATTTGTAATTATTAACATCACAGAACATATTTAACCAATTTCTACTGAAATGAGTTGTAACTAATAATCAGTAAAAGGTTGTAAATACTCAAAGTTGGGTGTAAGAATGGGGCACAATATCAACCAGACACAGTAATAGATTCGTTATTGTAAGATCAAGAAAGACAAAAATAAAATAGGATGAGTATTACGAAATTTCGTCGACAAGAATAGATGCTATGTCAAAAACAACTTGGCAAATATAAATTTAAAATTTAATAATTAATTCATTCCACCCTAATTTCAATTTGAAAGAAGCATAACTAGTAATAATGACAATAATAACAATAATGAAAATAACTATTAGCAAAGAGCAATTCTATTAAGATAATAATTAAACACCGAGTGGGAAGACATAAAACAATCATACTCGAAGTAATTTACCCCGAATTATTAAATCATGAGGGAGAATCTATTAAATAACTCCCTAGCAGGTACAAGATAAAAAGAATTATTAGAAGCCCAAAGGTGTAGGATAATTATAATCAAATGATGGATTCTTAAAATAAAATTAAAATCGAACACCTGCACACAATAAACTTCAAAAGAAAGGACTTTGAACTCGAGTCAAATAAAATTGTTGGTTAAGATTACAAAAAATTGAACAATTACTTCTGGAAGCGTTAACACGTACGAAGTAACCATCAGTATGGTTAAAAAATATAGGTGGGTAATAATATCAATAGGGAATCTCTCGGTATAACAAATACATATTCAAAACGAGATTTGGAAAGCACTAGAGGCGATTAACGAAAGCAAGGCTTCGAGAGAAGCCCCATCCATTTTTTAGACAAACATTCTTCATTTTGTAGGTTTTTATCGCTGAAAATGCATTGAAAGTAACCAGCAGAATTGAAGGTAGAAATCACGTATCAAGATTCAAACTTCTATCCGAGGAAAATTTGCATTCTAATCGATAGGTTCCAAATTTAGGTCGATGAATTATACGAAACTATAAACGCTGGTCATTCACCTTGTTCAAAATTTGCATGTAATTGCAGGATAGAAAAGCTCTCCAGGATAATTTTCGAGACAACAAACATAACTTAAAGCTTTAAATGAGCATTGAGTACAATTATTTCATTTTTTAAAAGGATTAAGAACAATTGCTTCCACACAGGAAATGCAAACACGTCATAAGACTGTAATTCCCTAATTCCAATTAAGAAGATTCTAAAAGTTATAAATTTACTTGCTCAATCTGAAGGTAATGTGTTACCATTTTCAATCGAAAACCTCATTTAATCTCAACCCAAAAAAGAAAATTCGCCAAACGACGTAAAAGAGTATCACTTTGTCTGAAGTGAAAGTAAATAATTGTACTTGCCTCCATTCCCGTAGTAACATGTTGAGCCAGCTTCACTTTAGCAAAATTTCCCTTTCCAATTGTCCGAATGAGACTATACTTTCCAACATGTGGTCTCTCTTTCCAATTACTGCTACCACTAACACCAGAAGGATTTGCAGAAGGATTTCCAGGAGCAGACAATTTGCTGCCAGTATAAGCTCCAGTTTCACTAATCGCTTTGTGCTGCTGCTGTTGCTGACGAAAATAGTACTGCTGAGCATGAGAATAGTCCGATGGAGGTGGAGGATTATGAGGAGAGATTCTATATCCCGCTGCTGACGCACCACTAGAGCGTCTCTGGGCGATGTGGGGCATTCGAGAAACATTACTTGTAGGGGGATTGGAAGGAATATTTGGCCCATTAGGAGGTGGAGGCCAACGATAAAAACTTCCCGCAGTAATAATATTAGAATTACTAGCCCCTGGTTGCAGAGGCGTTTGCATCATAGAGTGAGACATTATATCTGAAATTGCCCCATTGTTGTTGGTACCACTATTATTGCTATTGATGGTGCTGTTATTATTGGCAGCAGGATTGAGGTAACCAGATTTTGGTTGGCTGGGGTTAAAGTTCGATGGAGAAGCAGAGGTATAGAGCATTGAGGATGGATTTTGAGGTATTTGGCCAGGGAGAAGCATGTCGCTGGGAGTGGAAACAAGTTCACTTGAGATATTATTAACTGGTGGTGACGTGTATGAATACATGGGAGAACCGGATTTTGGATTCTCCAATAAAAGCATTACAACATGACCCTATTTTATGTGTCAAGATATACACCTACAAAAATCACAATTGACGCTTCCGAATGCCTAGAATGGAAAAAATATAGAATTTATTTCTGTGATAATGATCAAGAAGATAACTAAAAGCAATATCTTGAAAAAGAGACAGATATCAGAAACATATTCAACAGGAATATATTTTAATGAGGCTTATTTCACATGTGATAAATCGGAATAAATTAAGCAAAAATAAAATAATATACAATGAGGAATCACACTGACCAAGTGAATGACACAGAGCAAAAGAGCCTTGAAAGCACACAAATTCAGGTCATTGTTACTTTGGTTCATTAAAAGATTGACAAATTTTTATAAATATTGTCGTTATTGGTGCGATTGCACTAAAATTATTATTTTAGGCTTCGCTTATGATTAAAATATTCTTATACTATCATAACTTTTAATACTATGAAAAGTTTTTTTTATTTTACTAGAACAAATTGAAAACTTTACCACTTTGAAAATCCTGCTCTTATGTTAATCACTGTAAATAGTCTAGATTTCTTTTATAAAGCCTTTAGCTTTAATATTTAATTAGCCCATCACACTGTATTTTGCTAAAGTACAATGAACTCGTTATGATAATAAATATCTTGGGGGACACGTTATCCCATTTTCGCGTGCGTTACTAATACTTACGGCCGTATAATTTTCCGCACTAACGACAGTAATACGAGTGACCAATCAGAAACTGCCAAGTGTTTATAACTAAGCAGCCAAGTTGAACAAAACTAAACTGTTTGTAAACGCACAGTTCTTGTCACTATGTACGTGAATAGACCTGTTCATGATTTTACGTTGGTTTTTCTTCTACCACTTGTGGTAACAACCCGGGGGATCAAAATAATAAGAGATTTCTTAGTTGTCAGGCTTTATAATTGTAGCAATCCGCTACAAGCTCTTAAAAGGTCCAAATTTTCTAATGTCAAATTCAAGGATGGAAAAAATTCAATTCATTTTATTTTGAATCGATAATTTCATAATTATAGCAAGAGATATTTGTAGCGAATGAAGAATCTACATTGTTAAAAGACAATAAAACGACTATATAACCCGGCCATATTTTCCACGTTTTATAATAAACATTTTCCTATAATTAATTGTTTTTTAGCTTAAATGTAGCTATCAGGACAGCCCCGATATAATAACTAATATTTTGATCCAGTACTGGTGGGAAAGAGATTATTAATTTGGAAACGTTCGATTAATTTGTTGGTTTCGACAGTAAAGTCTATTGAAATTAATTTCCATGAGCATTTGTTATAGCCCATCCTTAATATGTAAAATCATATTTATATCTATGAATTCATTTCATCCCACTCATTCTTCCATGGTAATATCAGCCTATGTTAACTGGACTGTGAAACATATATTTTCACTCAATACTAAAAAATTGTTACACAATGTTAGCTGCAATTTTGGGGAAAGTTGCAGCTCTTTCTTATGAGTAAGGGCTTTGGTTCGTTGTATTTTACTTTAGTCTTTAGGGCTTTTGATGCTACAGTTAATGTCTTTTACCACTCTTCAATAATATAGCAGACGGAGAAGATATTTTAGATTAGTGAGTTCGTCAGAATTTCCTCTAGCAATAGAATGGAGGAGATTGTGGATTAAAGGTGCTAATGGATGTTTCTTGAGTTTGTGTAGGCCGCATATATTTGCATATTAAAAGTTACAACTCGGAAGGCAAAAAAACTCAGTTTGTTAACAGAGTTCTTATTCAATAGAGAATTGAGACAATTAACTCGATTGTAAGTCATGATGTCAGAATGTCGAACCATGCTATTATATCAGACAAAACAGGCACTGGGATGCTTGTGAATATTTTCATAAAAATATATTTAGATAATTTGATTAAAGTAATAATAAAGCATTTATATTAAATTTACACCCCGAAGAGAGTGAATATGACAAGCTGCTGCTCATAACTTATAAATCATTTCTGTAAGCAAGGGCTGATAATAATCATTATGCTTCTCTACAGTAGGTCGTAAACGGAGTAATTTTAATTCTACAAGGTAGGAATCATTGGATTGGCATTTAATCCTTTCATGGTCACTCTTACAATATTTTTCAATTCAAAGTTACCAAGTGTTGACATTTGATAACACCTGTATAAGGGAATTAATTTTAGGAAAGGTTACTTAAATTAGATTTTAATGATTCCGATTTTTTCATTGCTAAACGTTAGAAGAAGAAAATCATTACTACTTTGTTGGGATATTAGCAAAATATGAAGTATTGCATATGTCAGAGATACCATAAAATTAATCTATTCATTAATTATCATAAATTGATGTTTATTTATTATATATACGTAAGTAAATAGTGGTAAAATAGTAGTTTACATGGTGAGGTTGGTATTAAAAGATAGTAACGTACCGTTACAAATTCATTTTTTATGGATTAAATAAACATTTATGAATGTGTTTCAAAGTGTCCTAATCTAACATGTACTACACTGGTCCAAATAAAAATTTTGAAGGTATTTGTAACCATTTACAGCACTAAGTACGAACACAATGTCATGTCATAATTTTCTTGTTCTATTATAAATTCGAGCTAGTTGTGATTGAGAATAACAAAAGTTAGATATTTCTAATTATTTGTTATATAAAACACTAAAAAACTTTATAGTTAATTAAATCATTTATATACGAATATTTCATTTATATTTTTCAAATTTGTCCATATTTATTTATATGCGTGCTAATGCACTCTGGGCTATTTAGGCATTGCGGGTGTCACGGTTCTCTAAGCGTGGTTGAGCAATGAAGGAACTCTATCGACCCCCCGAAGTTCCAAAGGCAATGTAAGCCGTGTTTCGCATTTTATGTGGATTTTAGCAAGAATATTCGCTTTCATCTCGCAGGTGAAGTCGATATCGAGGCTCTTTCTGAAGTGCAAATCATTAAATACCAGCTTTATTCGTTTGTCGATGGCAATAGAAAAGGCCTTGAGTATGGACCTCTTGATCCCAGGCTTGGTGCTACTAAGCGCGGTGAAGTTTGTATAACATGCAAGCTCGACCATCAAGAATGCATCGGACATTGGGGCTATATTGATCTGCCTTTACCCATATTTCATACTGGATATCTCTGGCATATTGTAAAAATTCTACAGTGCATTTGCAAGGTTTGTGTACAATTTGATTTTTTAATTTTTTAAAATAAAGCATTGTGCTCGTGTTATGATCCCGGAAAAAACTCGAGCGAAATATTTGGTCTCCGCAACAAATGAGAATTTGGAATATATTCAAAAGAAGGTCTTGCGCAAAATCTTGCACAAATCGGCTAGTCGTACTACCCTCTGTCCTTTCTGCCATTCTATTAATGGCACCGTGAAGAAGGGCACTGGACTTTCTTACATCATTCATGATTTCTCTAAAAGTTATGCTCGAAAACTCGATAAAGCCATAGAACCATACGCTCGGGTGGCAGAATCAAATAGTGATTTACTAACTGTTGCAAAGAAGTGCATTGTAAGTTTTGCCTTTAACTATTTAATTAAATATTTTCCAGGAATGCATTCGTCCCTACCAGGCACTGGAACTATTCTCTAAAATCCCCACAGAGGATCTTCCCCTACTTCTAATGTCTTTTAGTGAAGGAAAAGTTTCCCATCCTCGCAATTTAATTATTGAACGTGTTCCTGTGCCTCCCAATGCCATACGCCCATCCGTTATATCCGAAGTCAGAAACGGATCGTAAGTTAATTTTTATTTCGACGTTTGTTTCTTTTTTCTCTCATTCGGTCATTCACATTTTTGTACCTTTATTATTCTATTCTGAATTCGGGTTTTTTAATTGAATGAATTTTTTGTTCGCCTTTGATTGTCATTGTTTTTCCACCTTTGTATCCAAATCAAGGCTTACAGTTTACGCGTATCATACCTTATGTTGCGTCCGATGGCTTGTATGTCTTATTAGGTCTCTAGTCAACGGAGACAATATTTTATTTCAATTACTGTTTTGCGATTTTGTGGCTTTGTGGAAAACATTCACTTCTCGTTGCTCCTAATTTATTAACATTTGCATTCATAGGTTTTTCTCTGAATGCTATATTTTCGCTTTACCATTAACTTCCCTCGGAAATAGGAAAGCCATTCTGCTGGTGTTTTTGTGAGCAGTCTTCCCTTTTCCCTCCTATTTCGATGCTCAGAACCATTGCGGTATTCGCCTCTGACTTAATTGACATTCACTTTAACTAGTGCCCATTTAATCGGTATGCTTTTTCTGTGTTTCTTTAGGAATGAAGATGATCTTACACAAATCCTCCAATGGATACTTTCTCAAGCCGTCACTTTAGAGGAGGATTTATCCCAATCAGAGTTCATAACCCACTACGACAGTCTTCATGCCGAGTTCACACGTCTTATCAACTCCCAAACCTCCGGGTTGCCACCCATTCAAGACCAGAAATTTATCCGTGGTATACTCCAGCGCCTTGCCACCAAACATGGTCGTTTTCGCCTCAACTTGTTGGGTAAGCGGACCAACTACACTGCGCGTACAGTTATTTCTCCTGATCCAAACCTACGTATTGACGAAGTCTGTATTCCCGAGTACTGCGCGACTATCCTCACGTATCCCGAGCGTGTCACAGAACACAATATAGAATTTCTCCGCAAACTTGTTCTAAATGGTCCCTACAAGTACCCCGGTGCTGTCTACTTGAATTACAAGTCTCCCGAAAATAAGCCCGGCGAGAAGTCAGAGATACTGAAAAAGTTTCTCTCTCATCCAAAAGTTCGAGAAAGTTCAGCTAGGTCCCTCCGAGTGGGTGATGTCGTAGATCGTCATCTTATTGAAGGAGATATCATTCTCTTCAACCGTCAGCCTTCTCTTCATCGGGTTTCTATGCAGGCTTTTAAAGCTGTTGTGAAACCCTATAGGACCTTCCGTTTCAATCCCTGTTGCTGCACACCTTTCAATGCTGACTTTGATGGGGATGAAATGAATGTCCATTTGCCTCAAACAGAAGAAGCGAGAGCCGAGGCTAAACATCTTATGCTTGTAAGTTTCAGTATTCTCACGTATGAAGGCCACTTCTTTTTTCACAGTTGACTTATGATTATATCATTCTTCTAGTCACTTAACAACATTGCCAATCCAAAGAACGGGGAGCCTTTGATATCTCCTATTCAGGACATGATTACAGCTTGCTATCTATTAACTCTGAAGGATGTCTTCTTTGAATATGATAAAGCCTGTGATTTGATGGCTCAACTTGCTGCAGGATCTCATAGTGTTCAAGATTGCCAGCTTCCTCCACCTGCTATTGTTTGGGTATGCTATTCCCTCTATCTTTTGATTTGAATTGTTGAACCATTGTTTAATCGTTCCATCTTTCAGCCTGTTAAATTATGGACAGGAAAACAGATATTCAGCCTGATCATGTCGCCAAGTTGCTCCCATGAGGTTAAGATTAATCTTCGTGTCTCGACTAAAACTATTTACTCGGGCAAGGATGAGGAAATGTGTCCTAATGATGGCTGTAAGTTAATCCCTTTGGTGTTTAGGAATATTTTAATTGGCTGTAATGATACATGATTATAGCAATTGGTTTATTTTTATACTCATCTTTTTGAGACAACCTTTTTAACTTCTGAGTCAATAGCATAAATAGCCCTTATCAATCACAATTCCGTCTTCTGCAAGTTTTACTAAACAAGAAATGAGGATGACCACTTGTAATATAAATGCTTGTTTCGGAAACGCACTAAGGGTGGACGTCATTTGTGTAGATTATAAGCTGAAATTAGGTGCAAGAATGGAAATGTCTCTCATAACTAGATAATCAACATATACCAAACTATAAACGTGGCAAAGGTTGAGTCAAGATAAATGCACTATAGAAAAGCCGCTCCCCTACCCGCATTATGTTCTACTTTGTCGTAAATTGCTAACCGGCTCTGTGTTTTGGACGATGGATTATCCAGTAGCTAGTCATAGTTATAAGTCTTGGTACTGTGTCTGACATTGCCGAAATTCCACAACTAAATTAACAATTCTATTTTTGAGTTGACATTGGTTGCGGCTCTAGCCCATTTGGTTCATATGACACAAAATTTCATTCAACATTCGAAGCTCAGATGTGTACTTCTTCATTCGTCATGCTAATCGTATGAACAAATACACTCTGACCTTATTACCACCTCTCTACTGATAATAATTACTTACTGTTGTCATCACATCAATAATCGAAATGTGACCAACTCGTCAGGTGACTTGCGGAAACAATTTCGCTGCCCTTTCAATATTCGTGAGAAGTGAGCATTCAAAAGAATTTTTGGTTTATATTGAAAGGCGAATGGTGTGGTAACTCCAATCATCTCGAAATTTAAGGCTAAAATAAGCTTAGGCTTTGTGATGCTTACAGAAGCTGCTATAGGTCGTTGAAAGACTTAGTCCTGAGAAATATGGTTTCTTGTTACAGTTCTTTAGAAGTTCATAAATTACCAGGAACAAACATAATATGGTTAAAATCGCCATTTGAAATTTATTGTTCCGTAAATAGTATTAAGGTTAATTAGGTCACTAGGTTGTTTATTATAATCCTAATCGAAGGCGTCTTCGTGGTTATTTGTTAATTTTCTCACATTTATTGGTTGACGTTCCTCAAATTTTTGTGCAAATGAATACTTGAATAATCAAATTTCATATTTATCCTCCAAGCACTTGGGACTAGAGATATAATTTATCATTTTTATGACGCCAATTGTTATTTACAATCTCATCGTTTTTACAGTCGCCTTTTTAGTAGTGTCCAATGCCAACTTCATTTCTCAAGAATGAGTTAAAGTGATGCTGCATTTTTCACTGCTCTATTCCGGTTGAGCTATAAAAAAGAGAGCTAATTGGAGCATAGTGTACAATTGATTTCTTCTATTGTTTCACTTTTTTATGTTGCAGTTGTGGTGATATATAATAGTGAGTTGCTAGCCGGCTGCATGGACAAAAAGTTACTAGGTAGTGGAAGCAAGTCGAGTATATTCTACTCCATACTTCGGGACTACGGTGGTGATGCGTGTGCCGATGCAATGTGGAGATTGTCTCGTATCGCCCTCTACTACCTCTCCTGCCGTGGATTTTCAATTGGAATTGAAGATGTTACACCGAGCGAATCGCTTGTTGAAGCCAAGCAGAAGATTATTAAGCAGGGGTGAGTGTGTCTTAGTTTTGGGATCGTTGAAAATGTCTCTCCCTAATTATTGAATCGATTGCTCACTTTTGCAACTTCACTTTTCAGCTACGCAAGTTGTGATGATTATATCAATCAATACGAGACCAACTCCTTGGCCTGCAATCCTGGTTGTAGCATGGAGGAAACACTAGAAGTAAGCAAAATTTGATTATGATTTTATTGTTCTCTGGTGTATGTACTCATTCCCAATTCTATATTTAATCATCCTTAGAATTCGACATAACCTTAGCTTTTTCTAGGTGTTTCCTGCGATGTTTTGAAATTTTCCAATATTTTTCGCCTGATCAAGTTTTTCATCATTTTACTTCAATTTCTATCACCTTATTTATTGTTTTATTGGGAAATGTTATTTTAATTTCATGAAGCATTTTTGGTAAGTAGTAGTGCCGGATTTTACTAACAATTATTTTGCGGTAAAAAGACTTCCAATCGTTTAATGTGGTAATAACCTCAACCTCACAGTTTGGTGGTATTTCTACTAATGATTTTTCAAAAATCTACATTTGTTTCCTAGATAGTTTTAACTTTACATTTTGACATAACTTAGAGGCTCTTTGTTCTCATTAAGCCCGCTTAAAATAGGGGAAAAACCTAATTCCTTGAAAGACTTCAGTTTCGCCTCCACTCGATCTCACTGAATTTCATCTTTGATAATCTTATTGATCTGTGCATTCAGGGGCTCTTACCAACGATGGCAGTGACATACGAAATTGCCACCATCTTTAATTATTTTAAGCAAATTTAATCGGTGTACAGAAAGTTTAACAAATGGCAAAGGCGAAGAAATAACGAAATACTGGGAACAATGTTAAATTTATTAATACTGGGTCTTCGTTTTATGCTTGGATTTGTTTAAGGTGGGTCACTCGCTTTCGGCTATCCCCTATTTCGACCTGTTTTTTACGAACAGATTTGATTCATGTGGTTCTTCGGTTTTTGGCTGTCAAATTCGATTTTTCAAATGTGGACGATGTTCGCTTGACCGTTAGCGGTCTTTCAAATTCCATGTTGAAGTATTAAAACTATGTAAATATATGCCATCTTGCTTGATTAGTTGGATTTGGTCATCTTAAGATTTAGGACAAATCGGTGCTGCTACGATGTGATCATCGCTTTGGCCATCCTAGTCTTGACTGCCTGATTCCTTAATACTCTAGAAATCTCATTTAGAAGTGATGGTGACCCAACAACCTTTTGGTCTTTTTTCTGCACAACATTAATCTTTGTACTTCACTCAAAATTCGTGACACCGCTTTCCTAGTATTTGGTAGTCATTGACATTGGTGGTAAGACGAAAACTTGTCGACTTTTCGTCTATATTTCTTCTTGCCATTCTATCCACTTTTTAAATCGCCCAACCTATTAGTTAGTTTTGATTATTAATAACTGTCTGCTGTTATATCCACATTCATTGCGACTTGTAGATGCGTCTAAGTCAGGTATTATCGCGAATTCGTGACGAAGCAGGCTCTGCATGCAGGCGTTCTCTCTATCGTCTCAACGCGGCTCTATTGATGGCTCTCATCGGTTCCAAGGGCTCCCTCAACAATATTTCCCAAATGTGCTCCTGTGTTGGTCAACAAATTATTGCCGGTCACAGGGTTCCAGATAGTCTCAATGGGGAACGCAGCATCATTCTCTTCCGTCCTGGCTCTAGAACCCCGGATGCTAAGGGCTTTGTGAGCAATAGCTTCTACTCCGGTCTCACGCCGTACGAATTCTTCTTCCACGCAATGAGTGGTCGAGAGGGCTTAACTGATACGGCAGTCAAAACTGCGGATACTGGATACATGCAGAGGCGTATTGTTAAGGTAATTTTCTTATTCCTTCTCTTTAAGATCTCTTTTGATTAGAATGCATTTAAATATATCTATAACTTCGTATAATTTATTTGGTGATACTCATGGTTTTCTCAAATGACATGATTTATAAAGGTCATTCTGCATAGCGTTTCAGTTTCAAAGAAAGAGGCTCTTAAGTAAACGAACGTAAGAAAGGGACATTATTTCAATCGGCGTTTTAAGCTATCTCATTATAGATTTCAAACCGTAATGTTAAAAATTGCAAAGGTGTTCATCCTGAAAGTTCATGCTTGGTAAACTGTTCTATTAAACCCTTTTCTATGCTATATTTGTTAGTATTTAAACGTGCTGTGTGTTCCCCAACTGCATTCTACGGCACGAAACGTAGAGTTTTAATTTTGGAAGTACGGCCCACTAATTACTATGTCTGCAATTGCTCGAGCCCAGCAGAAAAAAATGGCGGAAGGTCCCTAGTTTAACGGAGATTAAATTATTTATTTACAGCTTGGGGTTGTATGACTTTCAGCGCGACATTTACATATGAGGGAGGATGGGAAAGTAGAAGCGTTTTACTGATTATCCTTGCAGCTTAAGATGCCTATCCAGCTATAAAGAATATTTTTAAGGGTTCGTGAACTCATTTTAAGTTATTTTATTACTTCTACTATTATAGTGTATAATTTTGTCATTGACCTCAAGGCTTCAACTTTGCATGAGGGCACGTTTTCGTTGTACTATATAGTGATGTGCTCGTGAATTATAGTTATTACGCAAAACATGTACTCATTTTATGTTTTCTAAAGGAAGGCCAATGCGATTTATCTTTTAATGAGTGAGATACGATCTCAACAGGCATGGTTTCATCTGCAAAAGGGCTTGTCAAATCGGTCATAGTGACAACTTATCCACAACTATCACAATCTCTTAGTTGGGTGTTTATTAATTAAATTCTTTTACCTTTTAGTTTTTGGAGGACCTTACAGTAGCCTATGATGGAACAGTTCGTGACAGCCGTGATGATATTGTGCAATTCAAATACGGTTCGGATGGTTTTGACCCATGTGAAATGGAAGTTGACAACTTTCCTGTTGATTTCCATCGTGAATTGATGAACATTAAGGTAGTACTCTTCCCATTCCCTACTTCAAGATTCCCTTTAAAAGTTCCTTGTTTTATTTTGTTTTAACAGGCTCACTACCCTTGTCGAACTGAAAGCGCCCTAACGCCAGACCAGGTCAAAGACGCTATTAATGTTTCTCTCCAAATGCCAATTTTTTATAACGTTGATCCTGTTCTTCCCCTTCACATAAACAAGTTCTTTGACGAGGAAATAATCCCTAAAATGATTCAGGCACGTCAGGGTATTCCATTGGATGAAGTTCTAACGGGTGTAATGGCTGAACCCCAGCGACTCACCATTACCCAACTTCGTCAATTCCTTATGTCATCCCAAAAGAAGTTCAATAGGGCCCTGATTGACCCAAGTACTGCAGTTGGTGCCATATGTGGTCAATCAATTGGTGAACCTGCCACCCAAATGACCCTGCAGACCTTCCACTTCGCAGGTGTTGCTAGCATGAATATCACTCAGGGTGTACCTCGAATGAGGGAAATTGTAAACGCCGTGGCTAATATCCATACCCCACTCCTCACTGTACAGATTACGGACCCCACTTCTGCTGTATTAGCACGACGTGTAAAAATGGCTATTGAGCCAACTCGGCTTGCTGATATTTCCATAATGCTTCGTCAAATGCTCACACCTGATAAGGTGTACGTTCTTGTGGAATTCGATCAAAAACGTATGTTGCGAAGAGAAATCACACCAAGACAAGTTGCAACTGCAGTTCGAAGTGCTAGTTGGGCAATCCGAAAAGTCAAAATTGTTGATGTTGTCTGGTCTGAGAGTCAAATGAGGGTTTATCCTGAGGATCTAAATAAATTGGAACAACTAGTCCAATTGCTTGAGAATGTGGTCGTTAAGGGTATCAAAGGTGTAACTAGAGTTGTCATTCAACAGGATAAGGCTGGCCATCATAATATCTACGTGGAAGGAGCCAAATTCAGGGAGGTTAGTAGTCGTTTATCTTTTGTTAAATAAGTAGCTGCCTCATAAATCGATTAATATTATTCCCTTTCTTTCCGATAGGTGATGGCTGTTCAAGGAGTCGTACCAGAGCTGGTTCGAAGTAATAACATCTTGGAGGTGGAACGTTGCCTTGGTGTTGAAGCAGCTCGACGCGTTGTAGTGGAGGAACTGTGTGAGGTCATGGCAGCTCACGGCGTTACTGTCAACATTCGTCATGTCATGTTACTAGCTGACCTTATGACTAATCGGGTAAGCGTTTGTTCGCTCAAATGTTGAAGCTTCTATAGGTGGCCTGAATTGTGTTCATTAGAGTGTTTGCTTCGTATTTTTAGGGCGAAGTGTACGGTTATCAACGCAGTGGTATGGCAAAGGCTAAAAACAGTGTTCTCTGTCTTGCTTCGGTGAGTCTCGTTCTGAGTGATGTTTTTATTTTATTTGAGCTTGTGGTCGTGATTTCATTCCTATTTTAGTTTGAGCGTACTGGAGACCATTTATTTGAAGCTGCCTATCATTCGCAGGAAGATAACCTAGCAGGTAAAATATATTCGTGCAATTACCTTTATCGTTATCTTTATGAAAAAGCATGCGTTTAGAACTGATTTAGATCATTATTTACCGGTCAATCTGATTCTCTCTTCACTTGTAGGTTACGTAGATTTTCTAGTTACAAATATTCGCCATTGATTTTGTCTGTTCATTTTGCAAAGTATTACGTTTGACGGTAGTGGTGAATAAAACGTAATAGTGTTAAATAGAGAATCTGCAAATTCATCAATTTGTCCTATTTTTACTTGTTGGTCTTTTGATAACTTCTATTGGTTACGTACTCAATAAGTCAGTTTTTGCTTTGACAAAGTTACATATCTTCCATCTGGTGGAAAGCTATAAAGTTTAGACCTAAGGTCTTATTCATTTGTGCAGTTGAGTTACGATTTTCGCTAATGTGTAGGTTCTCGGCTGCTTCATTATTCCCTATTTTAACTAATAGAGACACGTTTTTCTTTTCAGGCATTACGGAAAGCATCATTGTCGGTAATCCTACGCGTATTGGAACAGGAACCTTCGATCTTCTTGGCAAATGATATCCTTTTAAATCAGCACATTTTCTTAATTCTTACTAATCATTTCCTTTTAGGTCTAGATTTGTTTCACAGTTATTTCCTTAACTCAATTTTTTCTGCTTTCTTACGTGGCAGCCGTCGGATCTATTAGAAAGTAAACCTACCCTTCTGGAATACGAATGACGTGGAGAAGAAAACCATGACTTTTATTATGTACTATATTTTAATTAAGTAAAAAACATCCTGATTGATTTAATGCTTTCACACTCCTGCTTCATAGGCATAAAATCCAGCTTTTTACTATGGTGCTGGTTAAGTGAATTTAAGGTAGGCGACAATCCTTCATTTAACTTGAGTATTGAAATGGGCAATTATCTTTTATCACTGCATGGTTGGCAGGTTTTATGTGAGCATAAATGTAAGCAATATACCGAACAATATTGCAGTGGAGGGGTGTGCGATAGACTTACCTCCACATGGTGCACACTGGGCAACGTATAATCATATAGCAATAAAGTCTATTAACCGGCAGTTGACTTCTCACTTCAAACAGCCATCACCCCCACTGTATGTCATAGTCGACCCCTACCACAGTACACATCTTACCCTTTCTGAGCCTTTGTGTTTGTCTGTTTCTTTTACATCTGTGAATCACTCTTCTATTCTCCCTCTTGAATTCGTCTCACTTTGATGTTCCTCCTCCCCTCTATGAAGCCCGAAATCAACTAAAGTGCTAATGATAACTATCAAAACGCCTGCCATTTGTTATAAATAAATAAATATTGCAGTGGATTTATATCTACCCAGAATCATGTTTGAAGTAAGACGTTAAAGGCCAATACAAAATTTGGGAAATATGATATATAATATAGATGTACAGGAATGGTAAGACATAATCCAATGCAATTCGTTATTTAATTTTTTTAATTATATGATATCATAAACTTTATACATTATAAAAATGACAATAGTGGAGCTTTAAAAAAGTGTTTTATTGTGTAAATAAAGAAAAAAATGCAAAATTTCTTCAATGAAGTAAACTTGTTGGTAATAAGCAATAAATTTGTTTTGGCTATCTGATATCTAAATATTAGTTAGCCCTACCTCCCTGGCGCTAATTTCGTAGTTGATTGAGGTCGCTGTACTTTATCTATACATAGGAGTTCTTTATTTTATTAATGGAGTGGTTTTTAATTGATCCGAAAACCCTGGATTTTGGGAATTTAACTCCCGTATTTTGGACAATTATCTTTTGTGGTATGCTGTTTTGTCGTATTGTAATCTAAAATTGTTATTCAAAAACAGATATTTAAAGCGCACAATATTACTTATACTTAAATGTATATTCAAATAAGATTGCTAATTTTCATTTTGTTGCATATTTCCTTATTTTTTATTGATGAAATCCATTAGTTTTTAATTCTCAATATTTTTTATTTTAGGCTGTCTTCTTGTCATTACGCTATTTGGGATATGTTGCTTTTCTTGCTGTCTATTCTGTAGACGACGTCGTCAAAGAAAAATCCAACGTCGTCTCTCTACATCGAGTGTTCTTTTTCCTGAAGGTTTTCAAATTTTATTTTATTGAAATCTTTGATACAGTATAATACGATTTTATGTTACTCTTGGTAGTAAACTAAGATCTGTCATGTGTGCTTATGCGTCATTCCTAATTAGATTATCTATATACGATGTGCTTATGTGCGAAGTCCTTCAAAACCGCAACTTTTTCAATTTGCAATTTTTTGGGCTTGTTACATTTCATATAAAAATTTATCAAATTTTTTGACTTTTTCACATGAAAATACTTTTTGTCTTCCTTCATATTTATTCTTCCCTTATGTTGCTGTTCTGTCTTTATATTTTCTACTTATTATAATGGTATTGGATTTTATTATCTTGCAGCATTATTGCATGTGGCAATCCCATTATACTTCCCAACAAACCCTATCACATTTTTTTTCTTAATTCATTGAGTTCTTTCTTGTTTTAGCTTCTATTTTTCTTTGTTGCTTTCTTTTTTCTCGGCTGCGTTTTTGACTTGCAATCATCTCTTCCTCTATTATGCCGTTATATTTTGCCCCCTATTTTTTAAACAGATGAGTCAATTTCGTTACTCTATTTTTGAATAACGATTCAGAAGATAGGTACTTGATATCTTTGTTCTGATTAACTAACAAGCTTTCTATGTTCTAAACTCGGATTGGAACTCAATATCTGGTTTTGTGGCGACAGTATAACAAGCATCTAGTAACTGCAACCCTTTATTTTGTAAAAGTGTTAACTTATAGACACTGAAAGAGTCGTTGTTTGATTATTTATCCAATTACCAGCATTGTATTTTTGGCCTTTACTCAAATTACTTAGAGGGTTCACAGTTTGAGGTAATTGTATTGATTTTGATAGATTTTTCAGCCACAATAAAAATTATTTTGTTTGTCTTGTTTTCTCACCTTCTTTTCCTTAATCGAAGTACCCATCATTTTGGATTGACTTATTTGATGTTTCATAACAGCCCAGGCGCGAAGTATTCTTTGAAGTTTTGCTACAGCATTCGCCATTTTAGTTCCATGAGCATGCTCTTGACTTATATTGTGTGCCAGATCGTAATCCTAGGCTTAGCCTTCGTAGGGTACTCAAGAAAGCATTTATCTAAACCTTCCCTTTTTCCTTATTGGTAATAATTTTCTCAAACATTTGCTGTCATTATCAACGGCTATCTTATAATAAAGCTTTCTCTTTTGATCCGAATTGTTTTTCTCAACTAGATGTGGAAATATCTTCAGTTCTACTTCGACCTCCTCCAATAAATCCGGATTATACACCTACACCACGACCAATACGCTTTCCTCAATCACGCTACTACCAGCAGTACTTTCACACCGAACAATCACCTACTGAGACTCTTGATGATCGCATCATCCCAAATCCAGCTCCTGTTCCTTCTTCAACCATCGCTGAATCCTCTCTTCCTCCTGCTGATTCTGCTCCTCCTTGTAAGTAGTGTTATTTTTCGATTTTATTACTATTTTCTGCTTATGAATTCTTTTTAATAGTAATGTTTTGAAGTCAGATTTCGTCGTTTCCGGATGGTTTCTATTGCTCTATGATTAAATATGTTCCATTGAGTAAATATTTATCTCTCCACATTTTTGGTACCTTTTGAACTTTAATAGTTGAGCCGCTATATATACAAATGCACTATGCGTAGCGAATATTTGTTTTCGATACAGTTGACTAGAAATTTTTTCCACCATCCTTCCGGCACTCTGACCAATAAGAGGAAAATGAGTTCTTACGAACTTCTCATGTTTGTTCGAATTCATTTTTGATGCACTAACTTTGACTAGTTCATTTTGACTCGAATCCCTATTTAGGATTTATAATTCAGTCCTGAAAAATATTAATTTATTTTTGATAGGCGGAATCTCATTTAATGCGTTCTTAAAATGTATAGTCTCTTTTAAACCTCTGTTTTTTGCTAAACCTTGTTACTGGTAGTCATTTGTAATAGTTTTTCAACTTTTTCATTTAATTGTTATTGCGTACGTCAGGGTGTTAATACTTATTTTATTATGGGACGGGCAGTGTAATGGTAAAAGCTGTTGGAAATACCTTACGTAAATGGAATTCTAAAATTTTCTAATTATCTCCCCATTGCTTTTTGGTTATGGTTTGTGTTCGCGTTTCATTGCGAAAATTTCTTAAGTCGACTCCTAGACGCCTGAGAGGTAACTCTTTTCAATGACGTTTGAAACTAATTCACCTTCAGATTACGACTTAGTAGAGGTCGGACAGACCACCTCAATAAATCTGTCTTTTCCGTTAGGTGCTAATTATGAAGTTCTTTTATTTTAGTGGTACCCATGAGACTTCTTTACGTGAGTTCTTTTGAGCGGCTTACTGGCTCCTCACTGCGACAGCCGTTAATTATATTCTCGATTACATAGTACTGTTGACAAGCTAATAACGCCACATTTGAGTATCTGAATATGTCTTTTTCCACTCTCTGACCTTGAGTGAACTGTACCCTAGCGATATCCTTAGGCTGTGTATATCATGGCAACCAAACTGGATCAAATAGCAGTTTTGGTGCACAGAAGAGTCGGTAAGGTAAACGATCAGCGAAAAGTTATAAAGGAAATCATAAAATTTATTTTATGGGAAAATAATATCAATATTAAGCATTTTTTAAGTCTTTCTAGTAAATGCGATTAGTGCCCTCTTTATTTACTATCGCCTGATTTGTGCTCAAACGCTCTTCTTGAATGACTCATCTATTTTTACATCCACCGTCGCACCGGCATTGCTTTATAACCCAAAGTCTTACCTTTTTCGATGTTTAATTAAATTCTGGGTGAGTTTATAAGCATTTATTCAATCTTACAACTATTTTGAAATAATAGTTTTAGGTGTCTGAGTTTCGTAAAAATGTAGGAGTAAATTGAATTGATTGAATTAGTAATTATATAGCTCATTCGAATCTATATCCACATTAGTTTTTGGAAACCTTGCCTTTTATTGGATCTTAATTTGGTTTTGTGAACGTTTCAACTGTTGGATAAATGTAGTGACTCATAAAAATTTTGACCTTCAAGAACATGCTAAGTTGCGAATTCCCGAAACCACCTGTTTGTTTGAAAATATGGTGGTGGATCATTAGGGACGTACTTCATCAGGTCGTAGTAAACACCGACAAGAACTGTCATTGTAAAACTTAAGGCCACACTATTCTATACTCGATTTAAGAAACTGCAAGCAAATTCCCTTGCATGAATCAAATTTGCTATAAGTATTCTTCTCGCCTTCTCTGTAAAATTCATGAATTTGATTTCCCCACCGTGAAATTTTAGCTTCACTTGCCATTCTACGTAATTGAAACCACCTTTTTTGTTTTATTGCAACTACTATGTTGTTCTTTCTACTTGTCTTTGTGCTCGCTCTCTGTACATCTGACTCAGATGCACAAGCTGCTCGCCGTGATGGCCTTTCATTAACTCAAATTTGTCCCTTTCAAGGCAAAAAGAACCTTGCAATGCATTCCAGCATAATTTACATATCTTTTAGCTAGTCTCAGATTTAGTTCATATTCCTTGAATTTATTTTGTGTTATTTTTCAAATTATACTCTCCTTTGATTTCCTATCAATTCAAATGACACTTGAATACCAATTACAATAAAGCTTCACTCTCTAACCTACAATCTATTGCCTATTTGATTTTCGTCATAGCTTTTGTTGTTTCCTATGGGCACGCATAAACTCCTTTACTCGAATTTTTAATGCAAACAGCCACCTGTCAGGAATCCAAGTTGCGAATGGCCTCTTCTTATCCTTTAAAATTAAGAGACCTATTTCTCTTAGAAATTAACTTTTTATCCATGTAGGTGATAGTTTCATATGTTGTAAATTCGATCTTTTACTGTCCATCAAGAAGTGCTTTGGCTATAGTGGCTCAGACATATGCTTCATACTATGGTTTCTTTAATAAAATGCATTTGCTTATATGTTCCTTACTCAGTAGACAAGTATTGGTCAATATTTGTAGTTGTGCCGGAAGTGTATTCTCAGGCACAAGCATGGTAGACCAAAATCCGTAATCATGTCCACCGGAAGCGCTGGATTTTGCTTCCTAATACGTTTTATATGAATAAATTAGCCTTCTTAAACAAAAGATCATATCTACGATATTTGAATTTCGTAGTGCTTTGCTTTCAATGCAGTATTCATTTATGATGAAGGAAAGGTAGATTGTGGTGGAGAGTGGTTGGTTTCTGCCAGCATCAATTGTAATTATGGTCTCTTTGACCTTAATAATCTTCATTTCTTGAGAATCCCTGAAGCGTTCGGTTGTGGCCATGCTTTCAAGTCTAGTGGGCAAAGTTGAACTGAAATCTAAATGTTGGATTTTAAGCAAATTGCAGCTTTCATCCATTTACGCTTTCTTAATCCTGCCAATTCAACTTCGGCAGATCGCAGAAGAAAGTGTCCCCAGAATTTACCGAATTTAAAAGATTGTGCATGGTGATGTCATCTACATCATTGGTTTTTCTTTACCTAGACTATTTTTTATCCATTTTGTTCCTGTGAATAGGTTGTGTGTGCACTATATCGAAAACACCTTGCACATGCACTTCCATCAATGTTCCGAAAATCAATTTTTTTGGGGGGGGGGGGTATTTTTATATTTATGGGTGCCAAATGCCGTGTTGAATTTGTATGAGCGTTCAGAGTCCTTGTTACAGTAGAGGTGTTGGGTCAAGTGCATATAAATTACCGATGCAAATATATACCAATTGAATGCACGTATTCTCATAAGTTCAATTTTCTCCTATCGAATTGTACTTTGTTCTGCCAATACCGGGTATAGATTAATTTATCCTGGTAGCATTACGTTATTTAATTAAATTTTGTTCAAGTTATAGGTATACGTAGCTGTGGCTAAGTTAAAAGAGATCTGTTGAGACGCGTTAACTTGTGTATTGAAGGTCATGGTGAACACTTTCAACAGTTGCTGTGACCTATTGAACGGTCACTATGTTACAGTTCGTAATTTTCTCTATTTACTATTTTTAAATAAAAATAAAATAGTAATATAACTTTATGCATTCACACGGGACATCTTGTATATGATGCCAAGTATATATTTATTGGTTAAATGGATTCGAAGTTTGTGGTTGTCTACTTTGAAGGATAAAGAATTCTCTTGATAGGCGTCTTTTGCACGGGATCTCCGTTTGACGTAGTTTTTCACTGAAGATTGCTATGAGTGTTTGTTTATCATGCATTGAGTTTTCATCCCTATACATTCTATGACACTGGTTTCTATTCTGACATGATTGCTGATAGAAGAGAACGTACCTTTCGGGCCCGTTTCTGTCCCATGTTCATGCCTGCTGAGTTCTGATTTGCAGTGGGTTCAGTTCACAAATCAAATTTGTCCTTTTCCCCATAAATCAATTCGAGGTGTGATTGATAGCGATTAATGGCATGAGCAATGGAGCATGCTTTTTTGTATTTTCAAAACTCGCTGTTTAATACTAGCTAATGTGTGTTGGCGTTTGCACTAAAGTCTTGTAATTTTTTGTTTTGTTGTTTTACACATCAAACAAATCATTGGTGTCTTATAGACGCATGTTATTTCTCTTTAGTTTGATTGCGGAAGCATTCTATGCTACGTCTGGGTTTTCCAGGAATGGAAATCAGTTGGCAACAGGAGTTACGGGTCAATTTTATTACCACAGTGGCACTGATGAAATGAATCTTTATTTCTTAATGCGAACTATGTTCAAATTGACTTTTGGAAGTATATAATGTGCTGATAAGCTTTTGTACTACTACGATACAAAGTTCATTTTGGTCTTCATAGAGTTCACTTTAGAGGCTCTTCAAGGTCGAAAACCTTAGTTTAACTTTAAAGACCGATTAAGTGCATTTAATTAAGCCTCAAAGGTGGAGGGGCCATGTGTTCAAACATTCTCCTTTTTTAGTCTTTTAAACAATTTATTTCTTCAATCCTATTGTTAATCGTAATATCTGCTGATCTATGATCTAGCTATCATTCTAATTAGTCGCTTTAATTGTAATTTACTCTGAGTAGTTCATATTTATTTCTATTAGACGATCACTCTCTTACGAAAATATTTTCCATAACCATATAGACGTGACATTCGTTTCTGTTTCCGAACCCAAAAACGAAAATGATGGTGGATTAGTCACAATTTTTTTGCAGTTTTATTGCTCTCTTATATTGTTGAAATTTACTACCTTATTTAGCTTTTCGAGTGGTGACTAGCGGTTTGGGATTCAAGAGACCCTGAAATGGTATAAGGCTTAGTTCACCTATCGTTCAAGTAAATGCAGGACTCAGATTCCATATTTCATCTTTTATTGTATCGTCTTAATGCTCCCCGTTTTCAGGTGTGTCTTCTCTTGAAGCCATGATATTTTTTGTTGGATATCCTGAGTTTGAAATGGTTAGGACGTGCTTTTATCGCGCTTCGTTAAAGTGCTTATTTACGTCCCCTTTATAGTAAAAATGTGTTTATGATTTGTCAGATCTATAAACTCTTTTCTTTCTATACTTCATTTCTAGCATTTTTTCATGTCATGTCGGTCGACGTTTATTAAAATTACATCTTCCCCTACCCAAAGAAAAGAGGACAAGACAGAGCACTTGCAACTCCAGATGCCATTTACGAAATAACTTATTGACTTGAATATATGGTAGATGATTGGCTGCCTTATTAGCCAATAGTTGCTGCAATGGCTTCTTCACAGGTGGTCTAATGTAGTCAATAACCTATTGCACGAGGGAAGAAGCTTGCAACGTTCTCTCGAGAGCAACGTAAAGATTCTTTCAAGCATCCTAACAGTTATAAAGAGAGGAAATGTGCTTTAAATCTGGGGCTGATATGTGTGGTTTAAATTGATTTATTTTATTAAAGTGCAAAACAGACAGTAGTGATTTCAGTAGAACGTAATTGTCTTAGTGGATCAAGGTTAAAAACTGATTTATTATCACCCCAACGTAGGCTTGAAATCTTGTCCAAACGGGTGGTCATTTCACTGACACGGTGAACATTGGTAAGACTTAAAATTAATATTTTATATAACCCCACGGTGAAACTCTTAATCGTATGAGGAAGAATCTTGCTCATTGCAACCTCAGATACATTTTATTCTGCTCTTCACTTACTGCCAAATAAATGGACTCCAGAAGTCGTCTTTTGGATGGTCTCTTTCACCAGAATATTGATTCTTTGTCCATTTTTATTGCTAATTTTTTTTATATTTACGTCCTTCTTCATAAGCCTTTACTCTTTTTGTTCGTTATTTATGTATCCATCTGAATGTTTTCCAATTTAAGTGAAATAATTTAGCGTAATGTTTTGGTTCGTACTATTATTTCTTCTTCGTATGTTAAGGATTACGTACGTGAAACTTAGTTTCGATTTTATGGAAGATATCTAGTGTATTTGAGTTTTACAAAAACTCTATATTCTCTTATTTATGAGCTTAAATGTCCTCATTTTGCGATATGTTAGTCATAAATATTTGCTCAGTGAATTTTTGTGTGTAAATTTACTACAAATGTAGTCGCAGTTTATATGCATTTTTTTTCGATATTGGTTTCACCTAAATTTTGCAAACTTATCTTCGACAAATCCAAGAGAGACAAAGGAGGGAGGGCCTATTTTACCCCTCCCTTCTTTTCTCTCTTCATAAGTAATCTTTCCGCTAATTTGGCTGTACGGTTTTTGTTGATTAAGGTCTAATGAGAAGAGAAAGATCTTGTAGCGTTATATCCATAATCAACTTTCCAGTACTGAGATTACAAGGAAACTAAATGATTGGCTAATGCTGCTGAGGTTATGTGGAGTGTGGAATGGGGTCGGGATGATTGGTTAAAAATGCTGGAACAAGATATCAATGAGATAGCCTGCAATCTTTTCGGTGTTAATAATTTGTCCAGCCACGATCAATTCATGCGCTTATTATAAGCCTATCAGCGTATACGTTTTCCCTATCTTTAAGTATTTATTTGCTAAATGGATCCCACTTTCATTTTGTTTGCCACCATCGATTTAGTCTGTTGGGAAAGCGGATGGTAGGAAGCATTCAATTTTTAACCCAATATGGATAATTACAATAAAGAAGAAAAAGGAAATGGTGGAGTTAGCGCATAGCCATTTATTTCATCTCTGCCTGAATTTCCACTGTGCTGGCTTTCACTATTATCTCATATAAGACGAGATTTCACGAAAGACAGATGTTCCTTCTTCTCCTCTTCTCATAAACGTTACGCAAAGTCGAATTTATTGTCTTGTGTGATGTCACTGTGTCTGAATAGTTGTGCGCACTTGGGCTTAGTAAATTGCGTTGTCGCTAAAGCAATGCGCTGGTTGTGGAGTCCCTAGGGTTTGTGTTTATATAATTGACAATCCTTAGCGAGTTGCATAATACCAGTCTCTTTAAGATTGCCGAAATGATTATTTGGAAAAGGCATTCCTCTCAGCCGACTTGGGAAGTGTATTGCCTGTCTCCATGAGGAGTAATCTTGGAAAATTACCTCAACCTTATTTCGTTGTAGTAGCTTCATTGCTCATCTACTTTATTTATTAAGATGATTCCCTCAGCAACGTCCATTTCATTGCTTTCACATAGCGACATATTTTTCATCCTTCCAATTACTGAAAGCTTTATCGATTTCCTGCCTTATCCAACACCCGCGTCGAAAGTTCCAATGCACCAGGTCACCACTTTTTCCAACTTACCGATTTCGTAGTTGCCACCTCCTCCCCCGCCCCCTTTTTTTCTATTTTTCAATATCCTTTCATGGATTCGGACTTATTCGTGTTTTGTAGTAGCTGATATCATACAGCTGGATGAGACGGTAGCCTTGTTTGTTAATCTACCTTACCATGGTGTATTTTCCATTGACCGATTTCGTTTTGACCTGTGCATGGATTACCGAATTCGAATTTTCTGTGATGTGTTTTTTGTGCCTGTACCATGTGCCACTTTGTGCACATAACACACCGGCCGCAAATTCGCCTGCGTTCGGACTGTGAAGTTCTCATGATTTTGCACGAGATTGTTCTAAATTTTGTAGTGCCTTCCACTACGTCGTTTTTTACGTTTCTCACCGAATCGGCTTTCTTCTGGATTCTTCGCACAACACTCCTAATTGGGTGCTCAAAAGCGTTAAGCTGTGAATTTGTAAACTCTAAAGTAACTAAATCCCCACCTCAGAGTCGCTTAAGGCTACTCTCATTGTTAAAAATCGATATCATAAATAGTTCTCCTTAATCCAGCTGTGTGGTTTAAGTTTCTCCCGAAGTACTTTTTTCAGTTGGCTCATGAGCACAGAGAGGCCACAATGAGATTTTCGCCTTAGACTGTTATCTAGAAGCATGCTATCTAATTTCGTGGGTTTCGAGTGAAATTGATTTGAGTTTTCGCTGAGTCAACATTTAGGTTTCTCTAACGAGATGTCACTTATTTGCTTTTCCCGATTTATTTCACCTCAAAAATATCGTTTATTTTTCCTTCTTTAAATTCCATTAAACGCGTAGCTAGTAGGTGGAATTCCAACCTCTCGTATTTGGTCACGTATTTGTGGATAAATATTCCAAAATAAAGTCTTTAACAGTAGTAACAGTATAAACGTATTAAACAGGGCGGATGGCCTAAACAGAAGCTTATTAATTTGATTGACACTTATAAAGCCCCAGATTTGGGGTCAGTTTAATGTTGCTCTGATTGACAGCTGTTTCTTGTAATTGCTAGTATGGAGTAACTCATATTGTTCCATTTAATGAAAAAATGGTAAATATCTTACTAACCGTTGCTCATTTTAAATTTAAGAACTTTGCTCTGTTAAATAGGGTACTTACTGAAGTATTTCTTGATAAATACAAGTCGTCGACCCGAAATCCAAGTTCTGATTCTCCATCTCTAAATTTCGTCTCCGTTGATCATAAATACCCTTTATTGCAATTCGCATCTTTCAGCCAATATTCCAATCAATATCTGATGCTGAAACAAAAACGTGGATGGTACAGATTTCAATTGAATTTAATTATTTATTGTTCAGTAAAGGGTTTCACACACTTATCTCCCTTATTCATGACAACTATTGAACAAATAGCACATTCATGGATCTATTTAACTTACGAAATTCACAAGAATTCAAGCGAGTTGAGCGAATTTCCGCAGTGCCCTTTAACAGAACAATGCTGATAAAGGCATATTTAGTCTGTCTTCCCCAAATCGTCTGGAATTTATGAAAATGGCATTTGATTTATAGTGTAGCGTGTAAACAGTTTATCTAGATTTAGGGTCACTCGGTTATCCTAATTTACGAAAATAAGGCTTTTAATCGGAGTTTTCTTCTCAATCTCTGCTTCATGATAGTATTCAAATCTAGGATACTTTTTTCTCCGCCCTAGTTATCTTGTCATTGATTCCTATTTTCCACTATACTTTCTTTTCTTATCACTAGCTATTGGATCTGTTTGTTGTTTTGAATTATGGCTTGTTGCAATAAGCACACAAAGATTCATTCCCTTCTGCTCTGGCTATGGGAAACCGCGGGAGTGTCTTAGAATTTGATCAACGTGTCTGTCTATTAGGTTATCATTTGAATTGAGATACTTAAATAATGCAAAGCATTATTCAATAAATTAGAGCGGGGTGAGCACCCGCTTTAAACATCGTACGAATGGAGTTGAGCCTTTGCCTGCTGAAATAAATCCACAGAAGTGCTGGTCGTGCAAGATCTCGATTTAGATGAGCAGAATAGAGTGATGGTCCTGTAACGGTTTAACATCATCAACTTGTATCTGCTCTTACCCCCACTTGTGTAAAGTCCTACTCAAACTCCCCTCTCCATTTTCTCTCTGAGATGCTATTGATGCTTTTGTGTAGCAGCATTAAGACCTTCCTTGCTGGTGGTAAGCCACAGCTTAGGTGGTGTCAAAACTGTAATGTTAGTAGAGAGCAGATGAGATTGGGTCAATTCTATAGCAGACAGTAGTGAATAAGCCCTAGCGATCATTACAGACATAAGCGGTCCTACGTCCGATTTTGTTATTGAAGCGAAATCTGTCAATGTTTCTTTAATATACTTAAAGAAATTCCCTTTTATCTCAAGTGAAATGTTGAGGAACTAAAATGCCCCCTCTTTTTTAGTTATCATTCATTTAATTTCTCCCAAGGATAGTTGATTTTCTTCCGTTTTTGTCTTTTCTTAAGTCTGTTTTTCATTGAAAATTCCTTTTTTACATAATTACTGTGAATTCTGTCATCTTAAGTTAGATCGAATTTCCAAATGGGGGTTGGGAGATGGGTGAATGTAACCTTTTGTTTCACTTGGGATTTGTTCCAATCAAAATTCAATGCGATTTTTGTGCTCAGTCTTTTCTATTCAATTTGCAAGAATGCAAGATTTCACGAAGGCAGGGTATTTCGATTGAATTTGCTAAAAGTTCACAATTCAATCTAGGAATTGTAGTTTGATTTGCAGGCGATTAACTTGACACTTAATTTTTTACGAGATCTTATCTTTTTTGAAAAATTTGATAAAACAGGTCGCCTGTCCTTTTTGGCGGTTGATACAGTTGACATTTTGAATTGCTTGTGCAAATATGAATGTAAAATCAACCATTCATCTAACAATGCAAAGTGTGAATGCTGACTCTATATGTGGCCTTTAATTTTTGCAAGCATTACTATATGCTTGCTAATATCCTCACTTTCGATGGCTTTTCATGCGTATGAACTCTGCCTGTACGAAATTGCACTAAATTCTAGCCATCAAAGATTGTCTCTATTTGAACACATTCACTTTCACTCTACCTAATACTGATTGAAGATTGACAGTATTGCAGTGAAAGGCACCTCTGACAAATTTGTGAGTTTGAGGAATGCTAGTATTTAAACTCTCTAACGGGGAGGAGATGGTCGTTTTTTTAATATTAATTAATCCTCGGAGTTTTAGGCCCAATCATCTATTCAAAATGATTTGTAGAATGTATGTTAACATTGATGTGCGCATCTACCAGGTCAGATATCATGATATCGATGCTTGTTGACCACTGCCATCGATGTGGATGTTCACCAACATTGGTCTTTTCTGGTCAACTCTATGGGTGATGGAATGCTATTTATCCAAGTTAATGGTTATCCAAAGTTTCCTTAACAAGTTTGGGGACATTTTTGTTCTTTTATACGGACTTGCAAATTGAACCTTAACTATCATCTTTGTCATATGGTTATTATTATTCCAATTTTTTCTTTACTTCTTCTAAGCCTATACAGAAGCTGTCAAGATGACATCGCCTTACTCAAGTCCGACTCAAGCCTTATCGCCAAAGTCAAAGGTGTCTCCTGCTTCTCCTAAGAATAACCAGGGTTCTTGTGTGACCCCAACTGGAACCTTAGAACCCTCTGCTCCTTATCCAACTCTTCCATATTTAACTGACCAGTGACCTCAGTCGATCTCGCCTATTTTCTTCGTTCTTTCTAGTGGCACAATCAAGGACTTGCTTCCCCTCCTCCTCTTTATTCGCAAATGTCTCCTTTCTCCTCCCCCAATAATGATTTCTCCGCATTTAATCAAATACCTACACCTACTTATCCTCTCTTTCCTCGTTTTGTTACCTAGTTAACCCGCCTGATTGGTTAATTCCCCTCCATTTTTTTGTATATTTATCCAACCAACAAGCCCTCTGTAAATGATTGAGTAGATTCGGTGTCATTCGATGTGCATTATTGAGAAGAAGAAAAGACGTGTTTGTTATTTATGGTTAAGCGTGTTGTGAAATTGTCAACTTGCCCTATTGTTGGTACAAATATTATGGTGACTGGATGTATTCGTTACTATATAGGTGGTTGGGGTTTGTTGTACAGCTTGAACATGTAGCCATTATGACAAAGTGGTTTTTACTGCGCGCCTGACCGATTATTTTAAACATAGTCTGTATCTTGAACCGAATAAATGTGAGAGTTCGGCTTATCTGATAAATACCGATTTGTTGATTGGTAAAGGCCAAGACCCGAGGCTACCAAAAATGGACCATTTCATTATATTTAATCAATACAAATAGAAGAAATGGATCTAGGGAGCATGGATATCCGGTACGTATCCGCGGTGACTTTGACTTAGGAGATATTTGCTTGAGATTTAATCGGAAACAATTGTATCAAATTGAAAAAGTGATATGCATACATCCTTATTTTGGCAATCGTACGATATATATCCATAACGACATCCTGACAAACTTTGCACTGCTATCACGAATATTATGATCAGATGTGCAAAGAAAACTATTCCCCGAGGCAAAACAAAACACTATCGAGTGTTTTGGTCTAAACACCTTGAGGAACTGAAAAGAAAGAGGGACGCCCTTCGCAACACTGCTGATCTGACTGGAAGAACGGAAGACGTAAAAGCCTGGAGACGACAATCAGCTGTCCTAAGGCAAGCCATCTTGCAAGCTAAACGCACTTCTTTCGACAAGTTCATCTCAAGTATCAACTACCAAAGTGATAGCCAACGCACTTTCAAATTTCTGAGAAACCTCCACAACAACAGAGAAAGACCCAAGAAAGAACCAATACGCTTAAACAGCAAATTGCTTACCACCGACAACGAAATAGCTAACTGCTTTGCGAAGTTCTATTCCCACAAGCAAAAGAAAAACCCTTTTGTCAGAAAATCTTCAAGAGATTTAAAGATACAAGTAAGACAGTTTGGTGAAATTAAGGAAGAC